GTTTCAACGTGCTTTTAAAACACTTATTTCATACTTTCCATAATCAGTCCCTCTCATTTTATCATTTTGTTTATACATTGAAATGGGTGAAATTTATGCATTTTCACATCTTAAATGTTTCTATTGCTAGAAATAAATAGACGCAAAAAATAAAGAGATAAATACATTTTTCAATGTGTTTTAAAAACATTGATTTCACAATTATCATGCCCTCTCATCTCAGTTTTTTTTTTATTATACATCTAAATGCATGAAATTTATACATTTTCATGTCATCAATGTTTTCATTGCTAGAAACAAATCAAGAGACAAAATAAAGAAAGAGAAAGTTACATCTTTCAATATGCTTCTAAAACACTAGTTTCACAGTTTTCAATAATGAGGTCCTCTCATCACATATATTTTTTTTATACATTGGATTGCAGGAAATTTATGCATTTTCACACCTCTAATGTTTCCATTGCTTAAAATAAAGAGACCCTAAGAGAGGCTAAATATGAAGAGAAAGGTACATATTATTTCATATTTCGTAGTTTCCATAATCAATCACTTTCATCTTAGTTTTTTTTTATACATTGAAATGGGTGAAATTTATGCATTTTCACACATTTAATGTTTTCATTGCTAAAAATAAATAGACGCCAAAAATAAAGAGACACTTATATTTTTCAATGTGATTTTAAAAACATTGATTTCGCAATTATCATGCTCTCTTGTCTCAATTTTTTAATTATACATTGAAATACATGAAATTTCTGCATTGTCACATCATTCATGTTTGCATTGTTAGCTACAAATAGACTTAAGAGACACAAGAAATGAAGAGAAAGTTACATCTTTCAATGTGTTCTTAAAACACTAATTTCACAATTTTCAATAACCAGTCCCTCCTATCAAAAAAGTTGTGTTTCAATGTACTTTTAAATACTGATTTCATAGTTTCCAATAATCAATCCCTTTCATCTCAACCTATCAATAAAAGTGCAAAAAGAAAATAAATATACATGCATGTAAAAATTTATATGAAACATATCATTGATGATGTGATATTTAAAAATATATTTTTATTAAAAGAAATAATATTATGATAATAAATAGTTAAAAATAAATTAAAATAATAAATAGATTTATTAAAAATAAATAAATTTATTTTATTTTTTATTCATATCTACTCATTTCTATTATTTTTCTCTTAATTTAAACCATCTTAAATTCTATTATTTATCTCTCTCTTTTTTTCTTTTTTTTTGCTCTCTTACATTCAAACAAAGGTTAAGTTCAAGAATATGAGAGATATGTGGGTGAAAGAAGGAAGTAATAAGAATGTTATTATATTAAAAAATGTAGTGTGATGAATATATATATATATATATATATATATATATATATATATATATAAATGAAATTTGTAACCGTATAATTTGATTAAAAAAATACATTAAATATTTATAGCATGATTCTTCCTGTTACAAACTTGATATTAATTAAATACCTTTATAACCATCAAGATATCACTTTAATGATTCAAATTATCACATCTTTCATTAGTACTTTATTAAGAAATATATCACTTTAATAATTCAAATGATAACATTGAGTTGCATGTAAATAAGAGAATTTTGTTTAGATTGTATCACAGAAAAATGAAGCATGAAGATATCTTAGCAAAATAAAAAGTTATTTATCACAAGTAGGAACATGAGAGTTTAAGTCTTATAGAAAAGAAAAAGTAAAAAAAAAATGTGAATTTTGTATTTTTCACCATAATTTTTTGTTGAAAAAAAAATAGTACAAGAAAATTTACAAACTTTCGTATATATGTTAATTAGGGTAAAGGAAAATAACTTTTACTAAAATAATTTTTAAAATTTTGTGAAAAAATTAGGGATAAATATATAATAATAGAGTTTGTCTTGACAAATATTAAAAATGAGAAGTATGTAATTCAATTAATTCAACAAAAATATTTGGTAAGGTGTGGATTATACTCATATATATTATAATGTTCATATTTCTAGTTGATATTAGATGTTGTCTCGGTTAGATCTTGACCAATAATTTTTTGAAAATAATAAATTAATATAAAAATGTGAAAGAATATGAAAATGTGAGAACCCAAAATTATAAATATACAAAAAAATATTTAATAATTATTAAGTTTGGGGAACCAAAATTATAAATGTACATGAAAGTTAAAAAATTGTGGATAGTCGTTACCCTACTCCTTAACTTTCAAAAAACTCACCACTAGTCCCAATAATTATTATAGTTAGCTCTGATGGCATATTATAAATGAAACAGGTATATAATTCAATCATACAAAATTAGCTAGGTAAGTTGAAGATTGTACTTACGAATATATTAAAATGTTATCATATATTTAGTTGATGTAAAATTTCATCACACCCTCTCATCTTGATGAAATTTTTTTTAATCACATCCATCCACCTAAATTTCCCTATTTCTTGAAAAATAAAGAAATAATATAAAATATCTCATTCATAGGTTGAGGCAAAATATCGTTATGTGATTATTATCACATGTGACCTAAAGTGAATGAAAAATATTTTCTTTGACTTTGATATTTCTCATTCCACTTTCATGCATCTCTAATGTGATGTCAAGTTGTTTTCTTATTTGAAACATAATATTTTTTTTCATGAATATTATCACATGTGAACTGAAATAAGTAAAAAATTATTTCCACCATTGATATTTTTCATTTCACGGGTATGCACCCGTATTGTGATAGTCAAACTATTTTACATATAGTTAAAAATCTTGAGTTTTATCAATGTACAAAATATATTGAAGTAGAGTGTTCTTTTATTTAAATCTTTCATGAACACTCACAATCATTTTATGTTTCCACTCATGTACAACTTGAATTTTCTTTATTGTTTGACAAGTTAGACATTCAAAATCTTTATACATAAACTAAAGGGAAAGTATAAGAGATGTTGCAAAAAAAAACTCAATTTGTGATTGACAATTTCATATCTATTAATTAATTATAATTATTTAATATTTTGATTTATTATAATAAAATTGGAGTATTTGTAAGAAATTCTTGAGTTAATTCTTTTTAGGAATAGTAAAATTGATTAACTTGTTCTATTTCGACTTGTCCTACCTCTATTAGGGCAGACACACTAAAGTGCTATAACCAGGGTGTGTTTGATTTATATTTATTTAAAAAAAACATACCTTTAATTATATGAAGAATTTTAAAGTTTTTATTTATTAATTAATATTTTTATTAGATAAATTGAAAAAAATTATATTTATATGTTGAAATAATTAATTATAACCAATAATTTAAATTTTATTGATTATTTTTAATAATTAAAATTATAATATTACAATATATTTACATATTTTAATACTATATTACTGTTTCAAAAACATAACAAAAAATTGTAATATTTTTAATTATAATTTTTTATTTTAATTTTAATATATAAATACTTTTTTTAAAACATGTCAATCATCAACTCGTCTCATCCTTAATCCGAGTTAAAACGAATTCACATGTTAAAACTATCCATCCATCTTATAATTTTTAAAATAAATTAACATATAATTAAACCTACTTTATTTTCTCAGGCCTAAATCTTTGTAATAAATTTGGAGGATTTATGGGTAATAAAAATCTTTAATTTGATATTGCTTTAAAACTATATTAAAAATTAGATACTTAAAAATAAAAATTAAAACATTAAAAATTATTGCTGTAATATCATGTCTGGTAAAGTTTAGTTGATAATTTTTATATTCTCAGCATTAAATTTTACTAAAAAATATTAAAAACAATAGAAGGATCTTATTTAAATCATGATATCATATTAGTTTAAAGTAAAACAAAATACTTCTCATTGAAATATGTTAAAAATTTATACAGGAGAAATTGATAGATGAATATGTAATAGAATCTGTTGCCATGGACCACTCTATCACAGCATCAGATGAAACATTGAAAATCATTCATGTAATGGGAAAGCATAACAACAACACATGAAACATTGAAAGTTCACATCAGGCAGGGATCTAAGTAAAAATGTCTGACAGAAAAAAGATAAATAATTTGAAATGATTTAGGTAGATGGTATTCATTTGGATCCTGTGATTTCAGGATAAATATGTTGATAAAATGGTGAGGGCCCATTTTTATTTATTTTTTATGTTAATATAAATTTAATATTTAATTAGTCAATTTTTATTAGAAAATGTTATTAATTAGTTGGGTCCGGCGATAATAAAATCATATGTTCCATTAACTAATATATAGTGCCGCAGTTATTTTATCAACCAAATATTAAATTCAAGCATAAAAAAGTTTTTAAATCATATATTTACAAAAATTAAAAGACTAAATTGATTAATTTATAAATACAAAGATTATAGACAAATTTTGATAAATTTATATAAAAAAATACCGGAACTAAAAATATTATGTGTCAGTAATATATTATTACATTCTTAATAGCATTAAATAATTTATTAATAAACAATAAATTATAAAATAACGTAATTGAATAAAATTAATAATTTTAATTTATAAGGAACCCTGGTACCGGTTCAATAATATTAAATAAATTTATTAATGACCAATAAAATAAATTATTTGTACAAAATTAATAATTATAATTTATAACATACTCAATCATAATTTATAACATACTCAATCGTACATAAACACTTGGCATACATGTCAATCATTTATCAAATACATAGTTAGAAGAGAAGGAGATGGGGAAGTGTGGAAGAAGAGAAAGTGAGATAGGGAAAGGGTAGTGTGGTAATTTAAATATAAAAAAATGGTAATGTTTGAAAAAGAGAGAGAGAAAATGTGAGTGATGAAAGGGCAAATAGCAAAGTGCCATCGAACATTTATATCATTTTATATTCAATTCAAAACCACTCCCTCTCCTTGTTTTATTTATCTCTCTTCCATAAACAAGAGGAGAAAAAGCAAAACATAGCATAGCAAACCAGCAACAATGGCTGTGCAGCTTCCTTGCGATGAGGGGGTATGTTTGGTGTGCAAGGCAGTGCCTGGAGAGGAAGAGACGCTTCGATGCGTCACCTGCGACACTCCTTGGCACGTCCCGTGCCTCTCCGTCCCTCCGCCCACTCTTGCAGCCACCACTCGCTGGTTGTGTCCGGACTGTTTTAATCCTCACCTTCCACCCGTCCCCGCTCCCCCTCAAAATGAACTCGTCACCGCAATGTTGGCTGTTGAAAACGACGCTTCTCTCACGCCAAGCCAGAAGGCCAAGAAACGTCAACAACTCATCACTGGAAAAGCTCTTCCGGAAGAAGACGAAGAAGAAGACGATGATAAATCGAATAACGCTTCCGTGTTTGATATTCTAACTCGATCTCTCAACTGCTCCATCTGTTTCCAGTTACCGGAGAGACCCGTCACGGTTTGTGCCCCTTTCTCTTCCCTTTCCATTTCTTATTTTTTTTAATTTTTTTTATATTTATTTATTACTTTCATTAGTTTCACTCCGACTATTATGTTGCCTTTATGTGCGGCCTCTGTTGGACTTAGCAGTATTTCTTCTCTATTAATGTTTATGCATGTATGAATGGTGTGTGGAGTAAATAAATCATAAAAGGGATTATATATTTGATTTGACTAAACGAGTTTAATTGAATCGAACCCAGACTCCCTGCGGTCACAGTTTCTGTCTGAAGTGCTTTCAGAGATGGGTTCGACAGGGGAACACGGGCTGTGTCAAGTGCCGGCAGATTATTCCGCCAAAGATGGCAAGCCAGCCCCGTATCAATTCTGCATTGGTGTTTGCGATTCGCCTTGCCAGGGCGGATTCTAGCAGGAATGGTGGTGCCGGAGGAGTTAGGTCTGTCAGCCATTTCCTGCACAATAAAGACAGACCCGATGAGCCGTTCACCACAGAACGTGCACGGAGGAATGGCCGTGCCAATGCGGCCAGTGGAAAAATATTTGTGACTGTGCCTACGGATCATTTTGGTCCAATCACGGCCGAGAATGACCCTGTGCGGAATCAGGGCTTGCTGGTCGGTGAAAGTTGGAGAGACAGACTGGAATGCAGGCAATGGGGTGCTCACTTTGTTCCTGTGGGTGGCATAGCTGGCCAATCAGATCGAGGTGCACAATCTGTTGTTCTTTCTGGTGGTTATGTGGATGACGAGGATCATGGAGAATGGTTTCTCTACACTGGAAGGTGTAACAACCAACAATTTTTCTACAATTCTCACTCTCACTCAATCCTGTTCATGCTTTATTCACTCTTGGCTTGGCTTGGCATTGCATTGCAGCGGTGGTAAGGATCTTAGCGGCAACAAACGTACCAACAAGAGTCACTCTTTTGACCAGAAGTTTGAGAAGTACAACCGTGCACTTCAAGTTAGTTGTCTCCAGGGTTATCCTGTTCGGGTTGTCAGGTCACCATCTGCTTCACTTAATTCTATTCTTTTACACTCCAATTTTTGCATGCGCTCCATACATAGGATCATATTATACATATTGTACCTGGAAATCCTTTACGCATTCTTTGACACCATGTGTCCATCAAACTGTTCTCTGAATTTTTGTTCTGGTTCAATTTGAAAAATTAAATCTATCTGTTACTTCTTATTTATTGTACAGGTAATTCGGAATCCAAAGGATTTATTCCTCATGATTTAGATCAAATTTCATTAAATTGCACATGCAAATTTGCAAAGTTTGAGATATGAATATTGATCCCATACTTATTTATGAACTTACTGGTCCGCCCGACCGATCGTTGGTTCTTATACATAGCAAATTTTGTTTGAATTTGTGTTATATTATTACTATCATGTATATGACCAGTTTGCCCGATTAAATACAAGTTTTCATTAAATCAACATTAATAATTCACACTGTGCTATCTTTATACATAACCTCTAATAAGCAGATCTCACATCTTTGTACATTAACCTCTAACAAGCAGATCTCACAAAGAAAAGCGATCTTCATATGCCCCAGAGATTGGCGTGCGGTATGATGGAATTTATAGAATTGAAAAGTGTTGGCAGATAGCGGGATTGCAGGTAAATATGTGCAATTTTATGATATATTTTGTTTGCCTATTGATTAATACATGCAGCGTATCTGATGCCATTTCTCTAACCAGGGTTTCAAAGTTTGCCGGTATCTATTCGTTAGGTGTGATAATGAACCAGCCCCTTGGACAAGGTATACACTCTTCTACTCTGTAGCACATTTCACACTAAAACGCCGCTTGGCATTCTATTACTAAGTTTCTTTAATGGAAACACAGTGATGATGTTGGAGATAGGCCCAGAGCCTTGCCGGTCATTCGTGAACTGAAAAAGGCTACAGTTATATATGAAAGGACTGAATCTGCATCTTGGGATTATGATGTGAGTAATTAAGGAGTTTGTTTTCCTTTTTCAAATATCTAAAATATAGTTTAGAATTTTAATATATTTAATATTTAATGAGTAAACGACTGGTTTAGGCGAAAGATTCTCGTTGGAAATGGATGAAACCACCACCTCCCAGCAGCAAAAAGGTACAAATTGAAGAACCCGTAGAGGTAACAAGGGCAAAGACAGATAGCGATATAAGGAAGTTCCAACTTAAGTCTATCAAGGAACAATTGCATAAAGGTATATTACTGATATATTTTACAATGATTGACAATGGACCTTCCAATTAAATGGTCAATTCTCTTGATGATTTCCATTAATACTTTCTTGTGATACCATTTTTCTTGTACATGCAGGGTTCTCGTGCATGATATGTAAGGAAGTTATGGTTTCACCAGTGACTACACCTTGTGCTCATAACTTCTGCAAGTCCTGTTTGGAAGGTGAATTTGCTGGTCAGGCTTTTGTGAAGGAGAGAAGTAGGGGTGGGAGAACGCTTCGTTCCCAAAAAAATGTGATGAAATGTCCTTCCTGCCCTATTGACATTTCTGATTATCTTCAGAACATTCAGGTACATGTGTCACATATCTGGGATCAACATTAGCATGATGCTTTTTCTTAAGTCTCAGAACACAGCTTAATCTATGGTTGATAAATTCGTTTTGTCTGGTGGTGCGCTTGTATGGCAGGTTGATATAGATTTGAAGAGTGCGATTGAGTCACTGAAAGCCAAGGTAGAAGAAATTGAAGAATCACTGGAATCAAGTGAAGATGCAGCAGATGGATTTCAGGACAAAGGTGTTGGCAAGGATGACGTTACTGATTCAGGGAACCAAAATTCTGTAGAGCAGTTGAATGATCTACCTGAAGGATCTGATGTCGATGAGCTTAAAGACACCAATACTAAGGGGCAAGATCGAGAAGTAATGTGCAATGGAAAGAGAAAGAAAGGTGCTGATGAAACACAATCGCCTGATGATAAAATGGAAGAAAGAGTTAAAAGAAACAGAAAGACCAGCAGTCGCTGATAAAAATGATTCTTCATCAAGTCCTCTCAATCTTCCATGAAATTGTGGTGGACCGAGGAGTTTTAACAACTTGACCTTCACCTGGTTCGATTATGACATGGTAGTATCTTTATTTTGCTTTATTAGCGCTTGATGGTTCAGTACTAGTCTTGGAAGTGTGCTACAAGGAAAAATTAACATTTTTCTATTTAATTCACTTTCTTAGTTTGTAATCACCATTGTCTGTTCATGGTTTTATGGGAAATGGAACTGTCCAAGACCTTAAGAAAAACGAGTTTAATCAAAGATCTTTTTTTGGATCAAGTATGTGGAGTTTTTATGGCAGTTATCTCTATAGCTTTTACCTTTTATTGTTTCATACCTGTGAATGATGTATTAGTTGATCAACCTCAGAGACGTGTATATCAGGTGGTAATTAGCCTGATAATATTTAAGAAAAATTGATCAATTTGGGGAGATTTCTTAACCCAAAATAGGTGTTTGTGTTTAGGTATTGGACTAATCAAGTTGCTGTAACATAGATGAAGTTCCTTTTAGCTTGTTCTTTCGTGCCGGGCAATTAATGGGTACTAACCCCTTCTCTCGTACACAAATAAAGAATGAACCCCTTTATAGTATACATGAGCCAACAGAAATGAAAATATTACGGCCTTTTTTATTTTAGGATCAATCTGATTTTTAATTCTGATTACAGAGGTGTACAAATCTTTCATGTCATTTGCTTGTGCAGTCATTGGGAATATTGCAGAATTTGGTGCCTTGAAAGATGGTCATATATATGTGGGAATGCAATCAGGATAAGCAGAAATCGGCACATTTGTAATCTTCAAAATAGCCACACTAGTCAAATTCACATAATGTTCACTTTATCTTCTACATATTAGGTTATGGCGATAGGCATAGGCTGTTAAGTCGTTTACTAGAAGCACAGGAGCAGATTCTATCACATTTTGGTTCTTCAAAATGATATATTATGCTCAATTTACTATTTTTCTTTGCAAAACATTCTTCAAAAGTTCTAACCTTTATTGATAAGGATGCACATTAACTTAGTTAACAACAAGAAAAGAGGAACATGAATTAAAAAAGATTAAAAAAAATAACGGAAACAAAATGGATGTGTTTTTTTTATGATTAGTAATTAAATATGTAAGTTCCACCAACTCAATTTAGAACATGTCCATTGCAATTAACTTATTTTATACATTAAAAATATATAATTTATAATTATTTTGTTATATGATGGACTAAATAATAGATGCTCTAATAGAAGAAATTCTAAACTATTCCTTTTGTAATTTATGATTTCTATATTTGTTATTTTAAAATAAATGCTTTTTATTATTGATAAAAAAATAATATAAAAAATAAATCTTAACTTGAAAAAACTAAATATATTATTGAAATCGACTTCAATGTTATTTTTTTAAAGTTTTTTAGAAGAAGACGTTATTGTTAAAGATAATTAGTCTATTGAAGTTTTTATCAAATCTATCAACCTTTTAAAAAAATCTATTTCAATTTATTGCTCGTGATGCGGATTTATAAATTAATTAATTAGTTTCTAAACTTTACTACAAATTCATATACATTCGATTTTATAATAATTTCATGCTTAATTAATTAATACCTTGGAAAATTTATTAAAATTCAAATACATTGATCTTATAATAATTTAATGTTGTTGCTAAGAAATCTTTGGTAAGTGTAAATTGATATATTTGATTATTTATCAAATTCATTTGCTGGATTTGATTTTTTTTTCAAAGTGTTTTGGTCACACTTTAATTTTCAAATCATTGAATTCTTCAAAATTTGTTGATAATAATAAATTATAGTTTTTTTTTCATTTGTATTTATTAGAGTCAGTTCTGATTAGAGTTTTCATCAATATTTTAAAACCAAATAATAATAATAATACATTATTATTATTATTATTATTATTATTATTATTATTATTATTATTATTATTATTATTATTATTATTATTATTGTTGTTGTTGTAAATTAATCCAATAATAACATGCCAAACAATTGACTAAAAATATTATCATAATATTTAAGAAATCGTGTATTATTTCTTAAAAAAAATTGCTAGTATTGAATATAAACTAAAAAGTGTAAGAAGAAAAGTTTTATAGGAAAATCTTAATTTGGTGTTTACTTTTTTTATTATAAAAGAAGCACAATTTTTAATTTGGTACTTACTTTTTTTACTATAAAAGGAACACAATGGTTACTTTGTAAAACATACTAAAATCATTTTTTTCTTTTTTCTCTTGCTGTTTTAGTACTTGAGAGATAAATTAACAGAGAAAAATAGTTTCTCTTTTTAGGTTCTTTTAGAGTTATTTTTTCTTTATTTTCGGGAGAGGGTGTTATTGTTTCCTCCTTCGAGGTAGAGAGAGAAGAGTTGTAATTTCTTTCATTAGTGGAATTACTCTTTTGCCTATTGTTAGTATTTTTCTCAAATTTTTGTGTGCTTATGCTTTTGTCTGATATCTAACAGTGGTATCAGAGCCACTGGGTTGTGATATTGGTCTTCTGCTGCATAGTCATTAAAATAGTGTTGGAAAAAGTTCTTAGTATGCTCTGTGGTTGCGATTAATCTAATCTTCCACATCAGAAAATAATTATTCTTGTTACTAGATATTATTTGGTAGTGTGATAGTGCATGTCTAGAAAAAATTTGGTAACAAAAGACTTGATATTTAAGCGTGTCTATTAATGACCCACCTCTCTTTCCTGGGAATTTACCTAGTATATTGGTTCACAATCTACCGTCGTTTTTCCAGCAGACAATACTATTCATAGTGAGGATTGCATAAGTTGATTTGGAACCATGAAACAAAATATAAGATAGAAAAGTTCAACAGGAGGATAATTTCTCATTGTGAAAATGATACACTCTGCTGCAGAATGCTCAAAGGTTTTAACACTCTTCGAGTGAGTGTCCACTCCTCAAAAAATTAAGGAAAAAAGAATAATAGAATTTGGGGGAAAAAGGATCTTGAAAACTTTTATTCTGTTCTGTTTTGATTACATCATAGCTATTAAAAGGAATTGGGTGCTAACAATCAAGCAAAAATTAGGGAAATAAAACAGGAATTAAACTAATAATTTGCAGCAGAAATTTCAGGAATTAATTTGAGCATATCAGGATCTTCTAATTTTGTCCGCAGACATAATTTGAGCATATCAGGATCTTCTAATTTTGTCCGCAGACATAATCAGTCATCCACGTTGGCTTCTTTCTTGCTCGTTTCCTTACTATTGGGTCATCCTTCCTTATTGGGTCTGGGTCCACTGGTTGGTTTGTATCATTTTCCCCTTCTGCAGAACTCACATTGTCCTCAAGGTGAAAATCAGGATAACAAGTGCGGAAATTTTCCAAGTCTTCCCAGGAAGCTTCATCAACTGGACAACCCTCCCAATGCACCAAGAGTTGTTCCTGTGGTTGCCCGTGAACTAACTGAGTTCGCCAATCTAAAATTGCCCTTGGTTGATCAATAGGTTGGTTATCAAAGCTTTCCAAGGGTAAGTCATATGTAGACATCTTATCAGTACCACGAAAAGGTTTAAGAGCCGACACATGAAAAATCGGGTGAATGCGACTACCAGGAGAAAGTTGGAGTTTGTATGCCACTGTCCCAATGCGCTCGATGATGCTATAAGGACCATAGAACCTCTTCGAGAGCTTGTGGTGTTTCAATTGACGGACTGATGTTTGGCGATACGGTCTGAGGCGTATGAGAACCAAATCACCAACAACGAGAGTAATGTCTCGACGATGTGCATTGGCCTTCTGACGCATTCTATGTTGAGCAGCAGTTAAATTTGTCTTCAAAGTGCGGAGTAATTCGTCATGAGAAGTTAGGGCCTCATCCAATACTTGTATAGAAGTGGATCCCCTATTATATGCCGGAATGGTGGGTGGTCTTCGACCATAAAGAGCCTCGAAAGGGGACATTTGCAAGGCACTATGATAGCTGGTGTTATAATGAAATTCGGTCCACGGGCGGAATGCAACCCATGAAGACGGTTTATGTTGAGTGAAGGCACGAAGATATTGTTCCAACCCACGGTTAACTACCTCGGTTTGACCGTCAGTTTGAGGGTGATAGGCACTGCTCATAGCAAGCTTGGTGCCACTAAGTTCAAACACCTTGCGCCAAAAAGCGCTAATGAAGACCGGATCACGATCATACACAATGGAACGAGGGTACCTATGGTGACGCACAACCAAAGACACAAACAACTCTACTACTTTGGAAGCGGTAAATGACGTGTGAAGAGCACCAAAGTGAGCTATTTTCGATAATCGATCCACAACAACAAGGATAACTGTGGATCCTTGAGAGGGAGGGAGACCCGTAATAAAATTCATTGTCACATCTTCCCAAACCGTCTCTGGAATCGGGAGAGGTTGAAGGAGTCCCGCTGGAACCTGCGTTGAGTATTTAATTTGTTGGCAAGTAAGACATGAGCCGACATACTCTTCCACTGCTTTACGCATACCGGACCAATCAAAATTGGCAGCAACACGAACTAGGGTACGTTTCACACCAGCATGGCCACCACTTGGTGTATCGTGAAATTTGCTAATGATTGTATGACATAGAGGAGATGTTGGGTTGATCACATAACGACCGGTATGGAAGAGGACCCCATTCACGATAGTATAAGGGTACCGGAGCAATCCCTGCATGTGTTGTTCACGAAAAGTCTGATAGAAAAAATCTGAAGCATTATCTTTTTGGAGCTGAGTAATAATATCATATGTAGGTGATGACACTAATGCTCTGAGTGCGGGTGTGTGGTCACTGTCTAACCACACACGTGAAAGTGCGTCAGCCACTTTATTGGAAGCCCCAGGTTTGTACTCAGATGCGAAATTGGAACCCCAAGAGTTTGCGCACATACGACTGCTGTTCTGGAGTTTGTATTACTTGCTAAAGTAATTCCTTGATGCTCTTATGATCAGTTCGGATGACAAAAAA